ACGAATATGGTAATAATTATCGTAATTTGACAAATAATATATTAGTTTTATAGTAAAGTTATTTTCATTTTTCTTCAGGTTTTTAATCCATTATGTTCTCTTAAACAACTGCAAGAAACTGCTATGTACAATTATTTTCATTTATCATACACTGTGCTTAGACATTTATTTATAAAAAGTCTGTATTTTGCAATCTCACGTGACGCAATAACAATTACTGTTCATAGGGTTCTTACTTCATTTATAATATGGAACATTCCGATGTATGGTAATTACTGAAGGTAAATGTTAACATACTAAGTATTGGGTTCCAAACCATCTTCGTTATACTTGTAGAGATATATTATAATAGTTCAATTGCATATATTCTTGCCAGGATGATGCAAACGTTTGGAACACCATATCCAGAAGTAATGTTAAAGAAATAAAATCATTTTATCTGGCATTACATCAAGAGGCAGAGTTTGAATGTTATATACCATTTAGACCACCAAACACTGCGCGTATAATTGTACAGATAATGATAATAAATAAATAAAAATTATTTCTGGCTTCCGGGCACGTCAACTACCATGGTAATTACTCCCATAAGTGTAGTGCATGTTTTTGTCACTGGAGGTGGCCGTGATCTTCCCCCGCTGGATGATGAAATCTGGAGCCGATGTACATGTCGGCTTGCGGAGCTTTTTCCATTCCATAATATATAAAATCAAAATAATTAAATATCTCTTCTACTTATTCACTTTCTTTTACTAAGAGAACACGTATGGCGTTTTTACTGACAATATTCAGAGTCGGGTAAATTATACCAAGCACCTATTTTATTGAAACCCCCATCAATGAATTAACCAGAACTTTGCTAGAAAATATAATGGAGTTTCAATCGATGAGACACTTTTAAGGAATTTTGAGAAGACGTAGCGTACAACAATCGATTGCATTTTCAAGGCCTGAGCATGCATCAACTTGAAATGAAACTCTAAGTGATGGCCGGTTTCGTTATTTTGCCGTATTGTGTGCACGACGTGTATAACATGCTAATCACTCGGACACTATATTGAATAATGCTGAAAATGCATCCTAAATCACATAATACTCGTAAATAATTATAGGACACATAGATATTGATTATAGGACACATTTTATGTACTAATCGTAATTTCTGCGTCATAACTAATTATCGTTAATACACGATAATTATTGTACATTTCGCAACCATGGTTACTGCCCTGAGCCTATACATAAACAAGTGGGGCTAGCACAACACTTGCTTTCTCGCATTATTTCTAAGTGTTCCGCTATATTAAACTACTTCATAAACATGCAAAAGTGTTTTTGTAGTAGCAAAACCAGCCAAATTACTTTCACTTCACTTCTACACCAAGACTCGAACTCAGGTCCTACAAGTTAACTCTGTCGTCAGCCATAGCACAAAAACGTCTCTACAGAAGCGCCGTGAGAATCGAACTTGAGCCGACGCTGAAAAATGCAATTCTCTCGACCCAAACTTTTTCCAACACGCAATTTTTGCAATTTTCAAAAGCAGGGAGAGTTCTCGTAAAACGGAATTAGTGCTATATTTTTTTACCATCCCTTGTTACATACGATAATAAAAATACATAATTTGAAACGGTTTTTGAGAAAAAACAGTTTTAAAAATTTTAAATTGCCTACATTTTGCGTAAAATTACACGAAAATTAATCATATTTTGAAAAAATTGAAAATGATCTTATTTGAAGATCTTGTCTTTAAAGAACAGATTTTATCAAGGAAAAATCTCCATCTTCAATACAATAGATGCAGGAAGACACCCACAAAATTGCACATTTGCTATTTGCGAAAAATGTGCTATTCGAAAAGAACATGAGACCTGCACTACTATCTTAAGCGTTATTTACGCCATCCAAATACAAAGTTTAATAAACAAAATTTGGTGCCATTTAAAAAAACTGAAAATGTATTTGAGGCTCATGTGAATTTAACTCTAAAATCATAATATCCCTCTGAAAATCCGGAAAGTATTGAGTTCATTCATATCGATCGGGGAATAACAATTTTGGAGAAAATCGGCGGTACTATTTAGGAACTAGCGTTGACCAACAAATGCACGGATAGTTGGACAGACCGACGATTTTCCGTCAATTGATTTTTGGGTATCAAGGACTAAAAAAACATGGTTTCTGGCTACACCAGAAGTCAGAGGACGTAATTTATTATGTCTAGCAACAGGATTTTTCCACTTTTCCATTACCAGAACCCCACAATAAGAGTTTTTCTGACGAACATTTGCCGTTTTCCGGCGCAAGATTACATATTTTTTCTTACGAAATAAGTGCGGGAAAGTAAACATCTGAGGTCCAAGTGATGCATTAGCAATTATTGTACTTCTCAGAACTGTACTTCTGTAGGATCTAACTACATTTACTATATTATCGAACACTTTGATGTGTAGACAAAATCATAGTTAATGAATTCAATAATTATTGAAGATAAATGTAAATCTTACTTAACACTGTGCATCAAATGGTTTCCGTAAGATTTTTAGGATGTGGTGGTCCATCATATGAGTGAGCAACGGTGACACAGGGACTTTAAGCAAAGTTCAATTCAGGCGGGTTCGTGTCCTGTTTGAGCATTTCCTTTCTTCAGGCGCGTCAAATACTCCAATTTTGATCACTATCCCGTGAATGAAGCGCATGTTAAACCCGGGAGGTGGTGATGTTCCTCCTTTTCCATATCTTGAGGTCTGGCACCGACCTACACGTCGGCTGGCACGTTTTCTCCCTCTACATATCCCTCCCGATACAAAGTCTCGCGTGAGTGACGGGTGTTTTCACCATGGGATTGTGACTTCTCATTTCACAATCTTTCTTCACCTCTCTTCTGACACTCTCTCTTTGGAAGAAATATATGGGGTTGATTGATTACTTCGTCATATACTATGTTCACACGTAGACCATTCACGACGTGTCTCTATTACCTCATTCGTAATTATCCACCTCGTTTCTTCATTCATCTGTCATGATCACCCCTTCCATCATCCATTCGGTGAAAGAGAATAGAAAAATACATGTAGGATCATATCCCAAGAAAGGGGAAAGGCATAAAAGCATAGTCTTCCCATGCTCGAGGATCGAAATGGTATCAACTTCATCAATCACAAAATCAACTTCATCATACACAGACACAAAACCTAAAGCTGAGCAGATAGCTAATGCGAACAATGAGACTCTCCGTTGTCGCTTGAGCATCGTCCCTAGTGAATCGTTTCATTCGCTGATCATCTGTCATCACCAAATGCCAAACTGACTCTAAATATGTTCGCAAATGCTGGCAGTCTGAGACGATTTAAAAAAATACAAAATTAATGTACAATCATTTAAGAATAGATTTATTCCCCAACGTCAAACCAAGTTTAGTGACAGTACAAATGTCTTTAGTTTCTCATCCTTGGCCACTCCTCTCCCCTTCACACGATGTTCATTGCACTACACTTCTACATAAGGGAGTCACGGTGCTTAGAGCCTGTCCAGGCTTAGGAGTAAGCAGCGCCACCTTGTGGAACTATCATTACATTATCTACACTTCGGAACTAATGACTAACAGTTGTCGCACAAGAAAATACAAATTTATAAACCTATTAACTGAATTAACGCCCAATTAGGAAAAAAAACTACTGTATACTGGGAACAATCTCAGAAATGAAGGAAGGAAATTAAACACTGGCATAATAATATAGAATAAAACACAATATTTATATATTTAAAAGAAAATTCAATTAAAGATTTTTTTGCATTTTACGTTTTCTTTTATTATAATCCCTTCCATGAAATTGCCCTGAGAAACACCTTTAAAAAAACTCTTTGGAGGGGACAACGTGAACGTGAAAATGGAGTAGGCTCTTCCAGAAACATACCCTCTTCTCAAATGATTAGCCCTCTGATTTGCCGATTGTGAGTTGTAAGACGTGTACTCTTTGTGACTGGCAAGATGTATCGGTACATTCGTCCTTCTCGAAGTTCCACCGCAACGACCTCCTGAGCCCCAAACTCATTTAAAAACTTACTCAAAAAAAAAGGTGTGCACCGTTAACACAACCAAATTGAGTCACCAGATATTTCAATAGCACGAAAAAAGAGATATAGCGACCCGGTCGGGTTTTAAAGTTTTATTGCTTATGGAATCACTAATTACGAAAAATATCTTTGATGCCATTTTTAATCAATAATATACAAAAATCAACAACACAGTTTCTATCGTCCTTTACTCGTATTTCCTTGATTATACCGATTGAGTCGAGGGAAATTACGTTACAGATTTCATTCCAGGGATCCAGCAAATAAGCGCATAAAACAATAACCGCAAACCGGCGTGAGCAAACCGAAGTATTATACTGTTCTTCCTATACAGCGATGTACTTGTCATGCAGGTACAAGTATTAACATAACACAACTACATAAGTTTTTAATGCATTGCACTTTTGAGTGAGTACTTCTTTCCATGGATAAGTTTCTATTCGCATATCTCTATGAGTAGCGTTTCGCAAAATGAAGGCAAACATTTTGCAGATAGTTTCAACAGATTCTATATGAATGTTGCAACGTCTTTCTTCGTTTTATATAACGACAAACGAGTCACGAATCACGTGCATGGTTCCGCAAACTAACGAGTCACGCTCACGTTGCATGCAGGATGGTAACAACTTATTTGTGAGGCTCTCACAGCGAAGGTCGAGTCACGAATCACAAAGTGCCCGTTTCCATGCTGAGTCACGATCACGTGCACGGAATGACGCAAGCGCGGTTCTCGGAAAGCGAACAAAGAACAGGACGATTAAGAGTCACGAGGCAGGCAAGGTGACCGAAGAATTGCGTCAGCCAGAATCACGATCACGAAACAGCTTCATTGTCGTTCCCGTGACGTTAACCATCAATATTTCCAAATCGATTACGAACATTGGTAAGATTCTTCGAAAACATGTTTTTTTCCTCGACGTAGCGGCGTCCAAAGTGTGTTTTTTCGGCCCAAAACACTCGAGTCACGGAGCCCCGCGCGCCGCTCCGGAAGCCGTTCAGTGACTCGAGTTGTGGGAGGGGGAGGAGGGACGCCCGTGCGTCACTCAAGGCCGCAGCCAGTCACGTGGCAGGCGCCTCGCGTCGCCGACAGCGTACATAACACGCCGCCCGCGCCCGCTTCCTGCACTCAGTCGCTCGGCCCAGTGCTTCTCAGTGCTTCGCTCTGCGCTACAGCCCACGTTCACCACTTCGTCGCAGCTGTCAAAGGGTAAGTTCATGTCGCTTTCTTCTTCTTGTATTTTGTGATGTACTGAAAGTTGTCAGATATTCACTTAATTACGTGTCTGGGATAAATTATTAGGTCTTTCCGTGTTCTCACCTAATCGTTATTTAATGTTGAAATATAAACACACATCATTCTTAGCATTCTGATGATAAAAAAATTTCACTTTATAATAAAATACAGTTGTTGCTATTTTGACATGTGTTAGAGTAACACAAAATCTTTCTGAAGTCGTCTTTTAATACGACTTGAGTTTTAAATAGAATTTCTTATAATTTGCGTGGAGAAAACTTTTGTGGGTGTAATAGGCTTTCCTCTTTGATCAAACGTAATATCTATGACGTAATATCTATGAATTCTTAATAACAGTCTTATTTTTTGTTTTATTGCTTATATTATTAAGAAGTTAACGACAATAAATGCATAGATATTTCCTAGGATTAGGTTCTAGAAATGTTTTCCCCTAGTTTACGAGTTTCTTATTAGTAAGCTTTAAGTAAATATGCATAAATATGCTTTAAGTAATAATGCAGTAAAACTTACGTGTTCAGAAGCAGTCGTTTGGCCTATATCTGTCCGATTGACATAAGTCTCTTGGCGGGAATTAAAATATAGTAAGAGAGAATCTTGTTTTATTTGAATAATGAGGGAAAATCTATATTATATTAGTATTTTCCGTCAAAAATAACGAGTTACATGTTACTGTGACAAGAGGATAAAAGTGACAGGAGTTATTTAATTATTAAAACTCATAATTTTAGAAAACTTTTTTCAATGAAGCAGAACACTGCGCATGACGTATGTGTCAATTAACGTTATCGTTTGTTATTTTTAATTTCATTGAGTTAATTAAGATTCATATCTTTGGCTAATACAATAAAAAATCATAACATAAGTACTGCCATTTTAATGTGCTTATATAATATTTACACTGCTATAAATAAACTTAGAGCTAAGAAGAGCAAACGAATAATAAAGATAGCACTTTTGCAAATTACAAATTAAATTTTCATTGTGATTAACATATAACTGCAATAAAAGACATAAACGGAATAGAAAAAGGGCAATAACATCCTTACGATTGTGAATTATTTGTATTCTATCTATAATTAACTGAATCAGCTATATTACATTGGTTATTAGAAACTAGTTCAATACGTGCAAATTTGCTTGTGTTCCGAAATCTCTTCACCCAATTTTTTTACCAAAATTAAGTGAAGTTATAATAAAAGATAACGAAGATAGTTAAAAGTTTCTATTGATTGTCTGTCATACTTATATTAACAAAAACATCCATTTATTGTAGACAATCAGCTTAAAGTTAAGAATTAAGTAAATAAAAATTAGGAAAATTGGTTATCTTTCCTTGTCTTGACATACAAGTATGTATGCCAGATTGTCAATAATCAATGGAACTCTTTGTAAAAACAAAAATTGTTGTTGACAAAGTCTGATGAAAACAAGCTAAAGGTTTGATATTACTTCTGATGTCGAAATAACATCTCCACTCTTCTCGCATCAAGCGAAAAGATGGCTCACGAAAACGTGGGCTCTAAATGTCGGTTGCAAGTGAGGGTATTTAATGAAACATGCATGTGTTATTTACTGTGCGTACACAGTTAGAAAAAGGTGTAACATTTATTTTAGTAATTTATATTTTAATAAATTATAATTTTAATAAATTATAATTTTAATATTAATATAATGTGCTATAGAATTATTTTTATAGGAAATAAATATTTGATAGTTTTGATCATTATTATCGATAACTGGTTTTCTGTTGACTAATTTTAACTGACGAATGACGCAGTTATATTAGTATTTAATTTGCCTTACTTATTTGGTGGTTTGGTTCATTATTGTATGGCTTCGTCAATTCGTGACTCAGAAATATAATCAAATAGATACACAAAATTACAGAGTTCTAGTGTGCTAATAGAGAATTGCCATTTTTCGTATGTGTGTGTGTGTGTGTGTGTTTCTTAAAAGATGAGATAGAATATGTTTATTACAAATATATCCAGTTTATTTCATTTTCCGTCGAACAAGGTACACACAACCGCTCAAAATAAAGTTTATTGAAACCCCAGGGATTTCTTACTTTGGAAAAAAGCATTTGTAAAATAATGTAGTTTAAATTATTTTAATAATTATTATTTTCATTGTTATAGGGAACAACATATTCTATATTAGTATAATACAAATTAAATGTTACATGTGATGTGCATTATATATAATATATTATATAAATAAATAATCACATGAACATTTATGAGTAAAAAGTAAATGGGCTGATGCCAAGTTATTCGTTAATATTCTGTTACCAACTGTTACCTACGTTGAAGAAAACTTTCGATCTTTGATACTTATTTCTAAAAGGTGTCTGATTTTCCCTCGTTATTGAATTATGAAACTGTCAAAACCGCGAAAAAATAACCGAAAAAGCGCGAACAAAATTTTAAAAATGGCTCATGTTGATTTTAACCGGTAGCCTTCCTTGCTTCCCTAACGCTTCGCGAACGTCCGAAGGCTGTGGTCGCGTCGGAAGAAATCGGGGCTGACAGCGCGTGGCCCGTGTTGCAGATGAGGATGCACTGCGTGTCGCACTTCGGCTCGCCCGGCGCCTTCCCACACTGGGGCTCCCACGAGGGGCGCGGCTTCGGCGCGGCCCAGGGCCCCCACTGTCACCACGGGCCTCTCAGCTTCGGGCCCCTGGGCCCCCACGGCCATGGGCACGGGTTCGGGTTCGGCCGCTGGGCGCCGTACGGGGGCCCGTTCGCGGGCCGCGGTCGCTGGGGGGCGTGGTCTGCATGGGGCCGGCCGGGCTTCGACGTGAGCGCTCCGTGGCAGGCCGAGCAGTCGGGCTGCGGGCCGTGCGGCAGCACGACTGCGCGGCGGCCGCCACCACCACCACCACCAGCGCCATGCGCACGCACACGACCACGAGCAGACACGACCACGGCCACGGGCACGCGCCTCGGCGGCAGGGGCGCGGGCGTCGCGGGCCGCTGGCGGGGGCGGGGGCGGGTGCGAGCGACGCGCGCGCTCGCCGTCGCCGGAGAGCGACTGCGGCTCTCGGCTGCGAAGGGGGCGTGCCGAGGACGGCGCCGGCCGCTGCGCGTGTGGTGGGCGACGACGAGGCTGCAGCGGCGGCGGGGGCGGGGGCCTCCTGCTGCGGGCGACACCGCTGCCACGCCCGGGGCGACGGCCAGGCCTCCCGCGCACACGCCCGCGCGCGCCCAGCTGCCCGCCGCCCTCGGAGCGTTTCACGCCCGCGACCGCTGAAGGTGAGCGCCCCGTCCCACCCCACCCCACGCCCGAACCTGGCTCGTTGGAGAGGTTTTGCACGGAAACTATAGCTGAACAGCAAACGAAACGGTCACTGCTCATAAATGGAAATTTTGGTTGATAACTACACGCCGTCCTAATGTCTTAATGTATAAATCTGAATGTACAAGTATACAAAGTTTCATGACGACTCATCTATTTAATGCACTGACACCGCCCCTTTTGCACATATATATAAGTAATTGTGAGTCCAATAATCAAGGTTATACAGATCATTCGGCATTATAGTCACCCATATGTATAATAGTCATCGCGTACATATAAGGGTTAATTAAAAATTTTACTTCAATCGAACCCGCACAATGAATAAAATTCCTTCATCAGTGACAGCAGCACTCGTTTTTGGCTCTTTGGGAACTAAAGTTGACCCTTAACGTTGTGCCCAAGTGAAAGTTACGTCCTTCCATCACAATCTGTGGCTGCAGGGTACCTTCCGGGAAATTCACTCCTCGAATACTTTTACTACGTCGTACGTCAGGTGTCTTGTCAGAATCAGAGGCGCCCAGAAAGGGGGGAGAGGGTTCAAGGGGAACTTGCCTAAAGCCCCAATTTGATTGCGAACCCGGAAAATTATTTATAGACAAAACAAATAAAAATATATTTCCTTCTTGGTCAAATAAGTTCTTAAGTTATTTCAGTTTCATGAAGAAAATAATTCAAATTATGAATTTGGGGTGGGTGGAACTTTTGTTTGAAATAATGGGTCCCTTGGATCTACTGCCCCCGTCGTCTTGATTTCTCTTAGCGGTCTTGCACAGAATAATTCTAGGGCATGTAGATCTGTCGTAGATGGTTACTTTTGCCTATGAACGTACGGTGGAAAACTCTCTTATTACTTGGTTACGTGTGACATTTGCCTCTGATTGACAGGTATCTCGTCTAACTTTGGCAGGGTCAAGAAATCTTTTTGCGTTAGAACGTTACCTGTTCAACACCAGTGTACGAAGAATTGACTAAGAAACAGGCGCCAGTGTCACTTGCGTTCTCTGTTATGCGAGGTTTCCCACCGCATGTAACTTGGCAAAAAGTCATCAATTGTGATACCCCCGCTTTGATCCCCACACCTTAGCAGATATGCTGGGAATTAAGACGGAAGGCTGTCACATTCGAATGAGTAATTACGTAATTGAGGTGGCAGAGTGCGCTATTCAAGATAGATTATCGGGTAGACTTTTTGCGTAGCTTAGCGTTTAGCTGTCACGTAACCAACAACTAGTGAAGACTGAAAATAGTTTTTGCATCACGTTGAGGTCGAAATCGAAGGAGATCCTTGTTCAAGAACTCTGGGAACCCAGTGTGTGCCAATTCCCATAATGCCCATAATAATCTCTTGATTCGTATTTGTTCAAAAAGAGCTGCACATCAGCCAATGATGTGTATAATTACATTATTATATAAATATAACTAATATAATACGTAATTATATTTAAAGATTAATGCCACAAACATGATGTTAAATCATGGAAAGAATAGTTATCAGCACTCACAACCGCCTTAGTTAAGAACAAATTCCAAAACAGCGCGACTGACTGATCCATTAGAAAACGATATCAGTCACCCGCAAAAATTGGTGGCTTCGTGATCTCCGATATCACTTATGGTTCCAGTTGGCGCATGCGCAGAGGCCAAAAAAGGGAAACGCTAAGGTGCTTCACACTACAAAATATCGTTAATGTACACGTTACGTTAACTGGACGGCGCGTTAAATGGGCGGTATGGTAACAATAGAGAGTGCCGGTAAAGCTACACTAGTTCCTCAAGCAACCGAATGCAAAACGAAATAGAAAAGTGAAGAAAAGCTAAACCAACGTGGGAAAGTAACAAAAGCGGTGCATTATGCGCTCTCAATGCGAAACCAGGTTCATTGACGTAATTCCGTTTGATACTAGAAGGAACATTATATGGAAAATCTCTCTCTGGATATGAAATGTAAAATGTATGCGCTATCTAGTTTCACACTGCAAAAATCTCTCCTTAGTTTTACTCTGCTCCATCCTCAGTTGCACTCTGCAATTCCATGGCGTCTCACTGACGTGCGATTGACCTATTTCAAGCTATTTCCTACCATTAATTTTCACCCTTAACTGTAAGAAAAGGGCGAGACTTCAATGGAAAAAGACATTGTTGTTTTTCATATTTAAACAATTAGCGTAGTTGTGTAGCAATTTTCTGTACTTAGAAATATTTTCGCTTTGGAGAAAAGCTCGAAGCATTTTTAATCTTTGTGCAAATATTATTAAATAGGAGCCAAGAAATATAGCACTAATGTTAGCGAACATTTAAAGAAAACCTTGTGTGGTATAAAATGTGAAGCTGGTCAATAGTCATTGAAATGAAAATCACCAAGAAGTCAGGGAAATCAGAAACTATAGTAAAATGGCCAGATAATATTTACTAATAATATGATGTTGTGAAATATGTCACTGCAAAATTTGAAGCATTCCTCATTTGACAAATACTTGTATTGTAAAATAACACATGAACATTTCAATACATTGAATTAATACTAAAATAGTAAGCTTAATAAAATGTGGAAATATTAATTAAATACTGGTTCTGCAATTCTATAAAATAACATAAAAGTATTTGCATTGTCAACATTAGTGAAATTATAAAATAAAGTCTATGCGTATTTAATTCTGCAAACTGTATTCTTGGTAAACTTCTTTCATTTAATCCAGGGCAATGCTGCCACAAACATTGCTTTATCATTAACCTTTCCTTAAGTTCTTTTTATTTAACAGTTCTAAAAAATAAAATGTATAAATTTAGAAATAAATTCAAGATAATGTAGAACACAAACTCATCTACACACCATTTTGAAAGACACAAAAATTAATGTTTGGGTAACTCTTTTTCTTTCTTTCAATCTTCTATTTTCTTTCTTTCAATGTCAAAATCCAATGAAGGATAATATCAATAAACAATTTCTAAAGATATTTCAATAAATAATGTTATACTGAAATGGGTGTATGCACTGATTGTTGGTTTATGTATTTATGTCACGATATCGTAGAGACATTATTAATTAAACTAAAGAATATCTCACTCATCAGAATCATAATAGATTCTCTTATTCGCATATAGTCTTCTTTTAATAATTAAGTTTATTTTATCATTTTATGTACAATGCTTAGATCAATATTGAAATTAAAGCACAAAATAGTAGCTCACATTGAAATAAGTTTCAGTTATTATTAACTACAATTTTTTGATTGTAATTATTTCTTCAATTAAAAATTAACAAATAAGAATTGGGATATTCATGATTAATATCACTGACAACAAAATTAACTTTCTTTAACTACACATCATTGTAACCAATTAAATACATTCTTAGTCATTGATTATGGAATGACCTAGAATGCTGTTTTGGCATGGAACTTTGAACCATTAATGTTGGCATGTAATAAATGAGATTTATTAAAATAAATGTAAAAATGAAAGTGTAAAACATTAGTCTCAACAGAAACTAATTTTCATTGTGTATTAATTTTCCTTGTTGCAGGATCTAGAACATTGTACTGAGTGGATGAAGTCTATTGGTACAGCTTTAAATCAGAAGAACAAGTGCATGAGTACATAATGAATCAGATGTTCTTAGGAATAACAGTTTGTGGATTGTAAAGATATGTGTTTGTTCACTTGGGCTTTTTTAAATTGTTTAGAAGAAGAGAAGATTCTCTAGTGAACGTTGAAAGTACATTGTGTAGATATAGGTCATACTACCTACTGTACTTCTTAAATGTAGCACGTGTTAATCAAGCAAACAGTATATTAATGAAAAATAAACACTGCATAATTTCATTCAAAGGATTGCCTAAGAGCTAAAATATTTTTATTCCATGTGCAAAGGAACAATAATATATAAAAATTCAAGGATATATACATTAGATTCCAATTAAATTGTATTTTTCTTATATATGCATATTTGTGATAATTTTATATCACACATTGAATAATTGTTTCAATTTTGTGTAATTAATTTTTCATTTTTAGAAGTATTTATCGTCATCAGAGTTATTTATGTGTGTTTTATGAATATTTTTTAATGTTTCATAATTATTTATACACTACCATGCATCATACATCATATAGCTATTAATTTATTTATCAATTGTATTTTTATATTATTTCATTGATGTTCAAATAAATTTTTAAATTGAAGTAATCCATCTTGTTCAAAATATCAATAATATTCCTCTTCAAATATATATTTTTCTTCAAAATGAAATCATAAATAAAGAATTATGAACAACCACATTATTATGTTTTTACAAATATTAATTACAGACAAATAATAATTTTATACAAGTTTCATTATCCCTTCCTTCACATCTTAGAACTGTCTGTTGTATACCCAAAACACTGACCCAAAATAAAACAATCCTGTAATGCGTGTTTTAGCTCTAAATTTTACAATTAACAAACTTGTCTGAACGAAAGCACTTGTGAACTTTCAAGAAGAAACTCAGTTTGTTTCAAAAAGTAAATTCTGTAGCACAAAAAATGGTTGTTCTTTGAATCAACCAGAAGGGGGTATACATAGTCTAAACAGTATAGCCAATTAGAGATAGCTCTTCACAAGTTTCGTCAATCAGAATAGCAACCATTCTATGTACCTACTTCAGTGTCACTTTATGTATATTTTATGGTAAAGTTAAAGAGTTTTTTCTAGAAAATCTAAGGAGCACTAGGAAAATCTAAGTGTACTAAGGTATTTAATTATTGTGAAAGAAAAAGAAAATTAAAAATAATAAATTGTGATGAATGAGAAATTAAAAAAAACATGTGACCTGACATTACAAATTAATTAACCTTCAAAAATATGTATTGAGACTGAATTTGAAAGAAACTTAATTACTATGATAAGTTGAAAAAATTTTCACTCGAGAGAGAACAAAAAGTACTTAGGAATTATTCCATCTTTAACTCTCAGGCGTTATTTAAATCAATTCAAATAAATAACAAGCAAGGCTGCAGGCAAAATATTAGCTTTTAATTTCTGTACATAACTTGCTCATAAAAACTGATAATAAACTATGGTCAGACTAACATTTTCAAACATCAGCATCTCGCTACCGGTAAGGCGTGTACTGTCTATATTTTGATGTTTTATTTATCTGTTTATAATTTATTTATTTAATTTTTTACTTTTTTGTTTCTGTTTGTGTAATGTTAATTAATAAATGAAGCAATTTATTATAAATTTGTCGTTCTCTTGCACTGTTCATTGTTTACACGTTAGCCTTGATGAATAAATTAAATATTTCGAAACGTTGGCGTAATTAATTATTTATCTAACTACAATGCCCAATCCCCTGAACCAATTTTATTTCAATAATAATAATAATAATAATAATAATAATAATAATAATAATAATAATAATAATAATAATGGCCCATTCTGGCCCTCTCAATTTTTGGGATGCTACTAGGTCCACCCGTTTATCCAAACTTCCTGAAAACCCGAATGAGTCGATGAATACAAAACTGTATCTCTCCAATGAAAACAATCCGTACACGCAGATACTATACACATCCGTCGAGGGATTTTCCACGGGTGACTCTTTAAGCCCTTTATTGTTTCTGTTTAGCATTGAATCCCCTCTCTATCTACTTAATTCATCTAATTATAGGAATCGCTCTTAAAAAGGGGACTGCACTCTTCTTCGTGTCTCAACATCTTCTTAACATGGATGACCTGAAGCTGTATTGCAGACACTTGAGATCATATGCGCAACTAATAACGTGACGGAGAAGTTCACTGACGACATTAACAGGAAATTCGGTTTTGGATAAGTCCAGGAGAGTGAATATCACTCGAGGTCATATGCAAGTTATAAATTTGGAACTGATCTGAGCCAAAGTACCTTCATGGAACCCCATGAAACTTACAAATACTTGGGTTCCACAGTCATCCGAATCAAACACTCTGTTCCTATAACATACAAACAACTGAAGTTGTAAACGATTGCATGGACTTTTAAAAACTCAACTTTCTGCTAGAAACCTTGTGAAGGCCATCAATTCATTTGCTATTCCAGTGCTGACATACTCCTTTGGCGTTATTAAATGGAGCAATATCGACCTCGACAAACTCTAGAGAAAATTCAAATGTCTATGACTCAACACCGAAACAATCATCTCCATTCCAAGTATGAGCGTTTTACCTTCCAAGGTCGCAAGGAGGGCGAGGTATTGGTAGACTCCAAATCTACATAGCTCTCAAATTGCTTCACTCAGAAGATACTTCTTGGAACATTGTGGAGAGTTAGCAAGCAGTGACGCAGTTGATAATAACTATAGTCCTCTGAACTTGAAAAAGCTTGATCCGCCTGTTCAACCAATCATTGAAACAAAAGAGAAGATAACCTTATGGAAAGGCGAAGGCATTGATGGAAGGTACCCTCACAAGCTGAGTAAATCAGAATTCGACATCTCTGCGTCGCACGCATGGCTCCAGCAAGGGATCTCTTTCCGGAGAAGCCTTCATGATAGCTATCAGGACAAGTGGTACACAACATTGAACTACAGAAACACATTCTGAGAGATTCTACTATTCATTCCGACTCGTGAGAAGATGTGAGGCTGCAAGCGAAACTGTCCCAACACGCGACAAGTGGATGTACCAGCCACGCAACAGTTGGATACAAAAAGAGGCATGATGAACGGGCGGAGCAGGTACACCAATTTATTGGCGTGAGAACGGCTTACTCGCCACTCTAGTGCCCGTATTATAAACATGTGCTCAGAATGCTGCTTGAAAGTAGTGACACACAACTACTGGGATCGCTCCATTATCACTGACAGACATGTCGGCGGCAATTGAGACCAGATATAACGTACATGATAGAAACCATCAACAGGTTTTCCTTATCGACATAATCAGATACCCATTAACGCACAACATATCGGGAAAATACCAAGAGAAGATCAGAAGTTATTACCGATCTCGCCATGAAGTGCATCTCAATGGAACTTCAGTAAAGTGACAACGTGCCTAATAATAATATCAGCTACGGAGTGAATCCCGAAATGACACTTCGGCCACTGAGTGCTCTTCACTTGATGCCAGGAATGTATATGAATATGCAAAAGTCTGTAATTTTGAATACATTTGCCTGTATTGTCGAAGCCATCTGTAACTTCCGTAAAGCAACCACACACCTAGTCATCATTCCTGTGTGTGGTTGATATACCGACGAGAATATACTGTGAATAATGTAAGATAACAATAATAATAGTAATAATAACAACAAATAACATTATATGAATAAATAATAATAAAATAATATTAATGGCAGTAAATATATACAAAGATACTTTTAATAATAAAGTTTGTAATAAAAACGTGTTACAAATGTTTCAAGCCGGTCCGATTTCACACAAAAAGACTATTATAAAATATTCCAATTTTGTAAAGATTATTTCTCATTGAAATGAAAACTTATATTTTAGTACCCTTTTGATCTTTTAATTGATTTCGCCTTCATGTCATCTTCAAATCATTTCCTTCAATCAAAGCCTGATAACATGTCCATCTGCCATCACGCAACGCACTAGCGTCTAAACGGTTGTCTACCTCCCAGGCGCAACATGTGAAACCTCTTTCTGACACATGTGTCGCACGGCTCGTGGCGCTGCAGCGGCGCTTACGGAAACTGCCAGCAGAACGAACAAATGAGGCCGGCGCGCGCATCCACTTGGCACATCATTAGAGATTTTGCGCGGGAGAGCGAAAACGTAACGAGGCAACCAAAGGGTATTGTGAGAATTGTGAAGAGACTTCTTGCACAATAGATACAGATAAAATGTATTTCCAGAACAACTCCAATTTTGGGGTCAGCTTTTTTGACGTAATTGTACTTGTTTTAATGTCAGCGCGTCGTCTTCAAACCAAAAATTGACGCCAGACAGGTTTGGCATATGTATTTCGCCACAGTGCGAGTGTGCCGACAACAAACTGTAAAGATATATAAAATAAAATATATTGTAGTATGTGAGAGAGTTGAAACACTGAAATTATCAGACTAATTTCCAGCTTAATTTGTGGCGGAATATGCAGTAAAATATGCTGGGACGGTGGAACCCTGGTTATATTTCTTAAGCTGTACTCTGAGAAATGAGATCTATTTGAAACGTCTGTAGCATTTTTTAGATTTATCTCTTCTGGTTGCTCTTATAAGTAGCATGCACGAGTGGTCAGAAACGAGCACCACTCATAATCTATCTAAAATTAAATTGACGCGTTAAGAGCCCATGCCATGAGGGGTCTACAATCCTTTGATGTATTGTTCAGGTGATGTACTTTTAAAGTTGTGATACAATAGAAAAATAATTCCAGTTTTAAAATAATGATTTACAAAATGTGAAATATACGCGTGAGTGCAACTAATAATAATTATTTTATGAATCCATTACAAATAATGCTGTATTTATTACAATGTTTTAGCACCGTTAATAAATTGCTATGATTATTTTATATGAATGTCTTAGTTTCGATAGCCATATTACTCGTTCGTTTTGACTTCATATTCAGATGACTTATTGAGGAAACTTTGAGAAAAAGGTTTTTTAATGAAGAAACTCTGCCCCGACTTATTTAACAAAATTAACTTTCCTACGGGCGCGGTAATTAAATATTACCGTATCCATGTAGATAAGATATATTAGCACCGTAAGCGAATTATCAAGGATGAATACTTTGTAATCCTTACCAATACTTCTGAAGAAAGATAATCACTGTTATACAACAACATAAACAATTATGTCATATTTAAATCGTGTTTACTATACAAATTCATTTCTCGACATTCTGAGAAAGCCACAAAAGCAACACAAAGTAGAATATCATGACATATTGAAACGCAAATATCACTTACGAAATCGATACACACGGAAAATCTTTCAGAAAACATACTTCGAAAAATGTCTTTCTTTGATCTGAACGGCACATTTACGTGTGTTTCCCCTATGGATGAAGAGTGGAGGAGGGCACCGCGAACGCACATGAAAATTGATTCAAGATCAACTAAGCCTGGCGGCGAGCGAGCGGTCGGTCGGGGAGCTTCAAAAGGCTCATTCATGGATGCAGGCGAGCCAAAATCTACCTGCGGCGTGCGCTCGCCTCGCCACGCCACGCCACGGCCTACCCCGTTTACCGCGGATGCAAACAAAAGCCGCTCGCGCAGACAAACGCGGCGCGGCCTGCACACTGCGCGATGAATTTGTGAGTGCGCGTGTGCGAACACAACCATGTCGAAAGGGTGGAAAATTATTTTTAATAAAAACAAAGCGATCGTGTTTTTTCGTTCAGAACAGGTCTTTCATTAGTTTAGTTCATTTCTTTCAACCAATCGAATGATTGTTTCAATCATTCGAATGATTGAAACAATCAATCGGGCGAGCTTTTCGTTTCAATCAATCGAGCGAACTTTTCGTTTCAATCAATCGAGCGAACTTTTCGTTTCTATCAATCGAGCGAGCTTTTCGTTTCTATCAATCGAGCGAGTTTTTTTGTTTCAGTCAAATTTTAAATCTCATCTTTACTTTAAATAAGAATTTTACTTCCAATGTTTGGGGGAAACCTGCAAGCACTATTGTCAGGTAAAAATCCCTTTGCTCTACAGCTGGAAGTCGGCTGTGCGGAACTGTCATTTGCTCGCGCAACTAGCGCATCGGATCTTCCTGAATCTTTTTTCCACAAATCATACAACCCTCATATTTGCCACACAACGGAATTGCTGTACTTAATTTTTTCCTATGAAAATTGTTCTTCACACACGTGGACCCGTCAGATACCGGAGTTTGGATTCTTCTTCTACTCCCCGCCAGGCCCTTCTCTGCTGAAACGCCGTTTGGCCACTGTCGCTTAACACGACCCTATTGAACCCTTCGACTACTGAGGTATCTTGTACAGGTCAAATACCAAGGCAGGTAACAAAGTTACCCCAGGAAATATGCAAAATGGTTTTAATATTTTTACCATAAATGTAATATTGTTTTGGTTACGCAGAATAAACATTATTTTGAAACATTTATGAAATATTTAGCATGGTCATTTTACAACTCTCTAGTATGGTCATTTTACAACTCTCTAGTATGGTCATTTTACAACTCTCTAGCATGGTCATTTTACAACTCTCTAGCATGGTCATTTTACAACTCTTGTGGAAATTAATGAAGAAGGTTTTGGAGATCAATTCCTTCAGAAGACATGCATGAAATTAAGTTTAGGTAAATGAAATCAAATGTGTGATTTCATGATTTCA